CTACTTGGGTTCTGGGCGATCCGCACGTCAGCCAGGAGCCGAGTTGCGAGAGAAGAACAACTATTTATCGCTCATGACATGAATTACGGCACCAAGCTCGATCTTACCCTGTCTGTCACCTGTCAATCGGCATCGCATGTGCTGAAACGGTTGGCGACTCTCGGTGCAGTGCATGCAGCCACTGGACGTGTGGTCCAGATGTGATGTCTACCTTCTTAAAGTCGACATAGCGACACACTGATGCAGTGCATTGGCATATTGCTTATTGGGTGGAAAATTGCGCAATGTTATATAACAGTGCGTATATTGACTCTCAGTGCAGCTGTGGACAGAATGCGAGCAAGTCAAGAGCATGGAGTCCGCTTTGCCAGAAGATAATCAATGATAGCAGCTCCGTTGGTGCAGACCTTGACCATTGACCGCTTGTCATTAGAGCATTAGCTTTGAATCGCAGTAGCAACGCAAGACGCTGGTGCTTGAAATGGGCTTGAGAATTCAACTACCAAAGCGAGCAACATCGCAGCGTAGCTAGAGAGACTCGCTCGCGATCAACGAAATGCGCAAAGTGTCAGGGCTGTGCTTGCAGCTCTGCGCGAAGCGGATTATCATTATCTGCCGGCGCCAGATAATATCGAGACGTGTTGCGCAGGTGCCGTTAGTGCAACGGCATCATAGTTAGTGCAACCACGGGGTGACGTCAAATCGTATAGTCGCGATGATACGACGAGTTGAAGCCATCGTAGAAGCGCCGATCAAGCGAACTAATATTTGATCCTCGGCCACCTACTGGCTGAACGGGATGCCAAATACTTGATCAAGTCAGCCTAATCCAAACCTGACTTCAGCCATCGACGTGCAGTTGAAGCATCGGTTCGGCGCGATCAGCACGAACTTGCTCAAGACAAGCCTTACACCGGATCCTTATTAGTCTTTCGCGCTAAGCCTGCAAAGTCATAATGGAATTGCCGAAAAGCGTAGAGATCACCGGATAAACGATGCTCTTCGTAGTGTGGTCGTCATTGCGATAATCTCTCTACTTTTATCCGGCAAAGAAGGTTGCTGAGCCGCTAAATTGTCAGATGAAATAGCAAAGCAAATAGTAGACCGCCTTGATTTACCCCCGCGTCGGCTTAGCGCGGGCTGGGTGTTGCCGTTGGTCAGCAGATGTGCGAGCGTGTCCGAGTAAAAAAATCCGACCCACCGGTTGAACCCAACTTCCATTTCATTCGTTCAAGCAAGCGAAACATTAAATTCCAGCTCACGTACTCGAACGCATATTAGAAGCTCAAGAACAACGTTGATGCATCACGTTTATGGCTAGTGATATGGCGTTTGAGATCCACAAGAAAATGCACGTGATGATGGATGTAGCGACCGCAAACACACCCATATCCGGTCCGGAAAGATCAACTGCGTAATGTGTGTCTGTGGTCGAGAAGACATCGTCTCCGACGGCAAATTTACGTTGACCTGCACTTGACCGATCGGACCATAATTCCTCGGTGGGCTAGGGAGACCTTCTTGTGCGGCAGAACGACCGCAATACTTGCACTGTTATGCTGTGTGCTGGAAAACGGATCCGGATACGATTATTCGGATGGCCGTTGGCGGTTTAAGTGGCCTAAGGAGTCGCGGGGGTACTCTGGGCTTCGGGGGGGTCCCGTTCCGGGTGCATATTCTAGGAGCTACATACAGGGAGAATGCCTTGGTTCTAATACACCAGTTGCTCTTTCACCATCCACATTCTGACACTGTGAGTGTGCCTAGCTTCAGATGACCTCTGAATACAAGCGCGAGGTACTCTCCAAATACAAGGATGGCGATCTAGTATAAATACGCCATCAAGTCGACCGGCCCAAATGTCATCGGCCGATATGTCTGATTACTGTCTGGGGGATCGGCTGTGTCTACGTCAATGTTTAAAAAATCTCAACTAACTTATGACAGGACGTTGAGGACCGTCAAGAAGGTTGTCGGAAAACATGTTGTTTGACCAGCGGGATTGTCCCCGTCGTGAAAAGTGGATCCAGTGTTCCAGAAACGCATACTGATATCGTGTGAGTTGGTCGAGACGCTTTCACTTGATATCCGAAACCTTTCTAGGCGGAGATCAGAAACAGACTCGGACCAATCCCCTTCTCAATATTTGCGGGTGGAAATCAAATGCCGTCTTTTGGCGGTATTGTTCAAAACCTGTCTTCATCACCTTGTGCTCGCACATTGCAGGCGAACCTGCGCAAGTTTACCATATACTGCGCAGCAACTTGATTGATCGCAACGTACAAAGTTTCAACGTCTTAGGCCTCCTTCGCGCGAAGTTTTTTCTGCAGATCTTGAAGCTGCTCATTGATGTTTGATTTTCAATTTGCTAAATCTTGCCCAGATTGGTCGCCGAGCGAAGCTGGTTACGAAAGTTTTATGTTCTACGCTTTACGCTCAATTGACTACATGACATGTGGTTCCTCGAAACGAAACAAGGGATTTCTTTTGTTGCCGCGACCGTGCAGCTGAGCTGCCGACTTGAAGCTGAACATATCAGCGTGCTTTGGATTTTGCGTCGTGAAAGAACTGGTCGCACAATGGCTCGGGCAGTAACACGAAGTCCAGGAAGATTTTCAGAGGCGTCGGGCCATTGAACACTCGCATGGTATCAGTGTGATACGCCAAGCACTCACGACAATAATCTGCGCTACGAGTCAGCAGAAGCAAATCAAAAGCAATAAAGAGCTATCATGATTGGATTCAGCGGCGTGATCAGGTCGCCGAGTCCGAAATGGGCCGCATTATCCTTAAACGTGTCTGGGAGGTTTAAGTATATTTTGTTTGCGTATTTACTGTAAACGCAAATGGTTTATCATCACACTCAAACACGAAAATTACTGGAGACCATCAACTAAGACTTCGACAGCTACCACAGACCGGGAAAGTTGGAACGCAATATCGTAAGCAAGCCGTTTTTCGCTCTAACGTCAGCTACCCAAACAGTCACGCACGATAAAATTGTATGAGATTACCGGAAAGGGATCGTGCTGACAAATTAATCTCTTGTAGACAGGGTGTGGAGTACTTGGAGGGCAGATGTGCTATTAAAAGGTGATCGTTCATCTTCATGTCATTGTTATTCACGGTGAGAGCACTAATGTTTGTACAAGTCAAAGAAGGCGTTCAGGATTGAGTGGCAAAGCCGCTTACTGCTTGCATCTTCTACTCATTGTCTACAACTGAAGCTGCAGCACCAATTCGCCTGCTGAGTACTCACCTTTGACCGCGTGTAGCTCCTTGAGTTCATCGAGAAGAGTGTCTGCGATTGCACTTGTTGCTGATGTTTGATAGAAAACTAGCTGATATCCAATTGCAGCAAACTTGACAGCACGTTTGGGAAGAGGATGTGCTTTAGCTCACCGCACCGGCTCAAACGAGATAAACTAGATTCAACGGACTTTATTGAGATCCTTCTTGGCTAATATCAGCGTGTTTTCCAGACCTCGAGTCACGACAACTTTTGCGCTTTCAATTTCGTCGATAACTACTTTGCGCACCACGTAAAACTGTCGACTCACTGAAAGGGCATAGCCACCTTCATTACCTTATTTCACTCTGCGGAAAACATGAGCTGTTGTACGAGAGTTATCATGTAAAGCAGCAACGATTTAACAATCTCAGGGCTTTTGCTCGACAACTTAAGCAGCATTACTGATTTTCTTTAGTACATTTTCCGAGCTTAAAGTATCCACCACAAAGCTGTCGAAAATTCAAATGTTCGATAGGAGTATTGAACAACGCCCCGTTATTATTATTTGCTATTTTTTCCGACATATCGATACTCGGTGCAAACTTTGCGCTCTATGCAGTAAGGCTGCCGTAGCTTAGCGCTTGAGGAAGCGTGATTTAGGTCACCGACCTTTCGTTCTTTACAAATATCGATACGAGTGTGGCGGATCGCAATCCGCCAACTCCAAGAGTAGTTACTACCGTAACCAAGGCTAATAAACTCTTCGATTTAAAATCAAAACTGACTTTTATCTATTTTTATCTGCGGATAAACCGCCCAATTTCAAATGTATAGATTTTACTAGATATATAGTAAAATCTAAATACATGCATAACTACTGACTACCTAGCCACATACCGTATTCTTGATCGGGTGCAGTCACACCATGCACATCTCGTGTGTGTGTCTATCAGGGGTGTGTGACACCCCTGATAGACATGCGAGAAGTACACAATCCGTTTGATTCTTATTGAATTCAAGCGCCTATTGCATTCTGGATAACCTCCATGACGTGCTCGATCTCAATGTATGAGAACGGGTGGTTGGACTCCGAATTTTCGCACTAACTTTAGCAATATCACGGTATACACTGCAAATAAAAGTTGAGCTCTGAGAATTTTATTAGAGTAACCCGTTACGTTCACTCTAAAAAAATTAGTTTTTTCACCTCGCTACTGTGCGATTGTAAACGTACACCGTACAATAAAATTTTGAACGTATGCTCACAATTCAGATTTCACTTTGGTGTATTCAGAAGTACCGAATTTTGTAGTTGAGTATAGAACGACGTAGATATAGATTCGCTTAGATATAAGTATATTGAATTGAGAGACTCTTGGTTTCGCTTGGGTCGAATTCGCGAACGCGTCCTCTGTGCGTTTGTGGACCCTGATTCATCGAGTCAAAGCTTTGTCTCCGAAGTTCATGGCGACCCCGTTGCACACGGTTACCTTTGGCTATTATCCCTCGGCAACCTTTAGTGTACTTGGCTTCCGACAATGACGGATGCCCTCGGGATAAATTTATGTCTGAATAGTCGAAGCTCATCTTCGACATATTATGGTGTATCTCAAATGATGAATCAATACGAAATAAACACATCAAACATGCGCATCATCTCTATAGCTCGAGTCAGAAGATTTCTACTTGTGACGCTCAGATACGTCACGCCGAGAGTCGACGTAAGTAGTGGGTCATGGAACATCACGCCGGAAGCTTTTTCCTTACTGAAATTTAGCCCCGAGAACATTTCTTTCGGGTCAGCAGCAAATCCAACGAATCCAACGACGCAACCTCGCGACCAGCTTATAGAAAGAGCCGCGTCTTTCGTTTCTTAGGGCATTTTGGGACCGCTAGACCGACAACGTCCATACTATGTTGATAAATGCAAAAGAACGTTTACGCCGGACCTAAGGATTAGTTCGGACCAGCGCGACGTATTTAATTCAAAATTTATGTCTCACGTCCGCTTAAGTACACCATAAATTCTTTCTCCCTTGTTAGCTCGAGAAAAGATGAAGCTCTTCTGTGCGATAATTGGCGTGGCGGGCAGCGCGTTCCCAGTGGACATCGACGCTGGCCAGACGTTGGGATACTTGAAGAAGGCGGTGAAGGCGGAGAAGCCAGATATGATTAAGTTCGAAGCAGATAAGTCGGAGCTCTATCTTGCAAAGAATAAAGACGGGGGTTGGCTGACGGACGACGATGCTCTGGATGCGATATTACGGGGTGAAATTGATGTCAACTCCTATTTGAAGATGCGGCCGTCGTAGAAGCTAAACAAGTCGAGTCTCTTTGGTCCCAATATTTTCCTTGGAGACGACGTGGTTCACGTGCTGGTGGTGGTTCCGGAGCAAGTTCAAGGACAATCTAGATTGTGGCTCGTTACTGGATCCGTCGATAACGCGTTGAAATCGAGCAGGATTCGCTGCAGACTATACTGGATGGCGACGTTACGCATTGGGTACTACGATCCTGTTCGCCGCACCCGGGATAAGAAAAATGTTGCGTTTTGGTACGAAGACAAGAAGTTGTACTTCCATGTACTGTTCGAGACAAGTGCGTGATTTTATGAATCGTTATTGCATCGTAGTGGCGGACTAACTCTTTTTTTGTTTGCAGAAGAAACTGCTTTGCTATTTGAAACTGACTTAAGAATCGGCCCGCAAACGTTGGGCTCAGAGTTATATGACCAAGTTGTTGAGACACGCGTTGAACAAATTAATGCCGTGTCTGCTGGGCTCCAGCGCGTCTTCCACACTGACTATGTTCCAGACGAGTCCGATTCTCCCGAAAAAACAATTTCTTCCGTATCATTGACTACAAGCGTTTCCATTCTGGACCCTTTGACTGACGAGTTCAAATATCAGCGAATCGAGCACAAAAATCTCTTCATCCCGTATGGCAAGGCAGAAAGCTGTCATTTGGTGTCGAAAAAGCAAAGCAGAGACCACAAACGAAAATATGCTAAGTACGATCGCGATCCAAACAATTGGCTTGCTCTTTCTCGCGAGATGCATGGTTGGTATGAAGGGTTGAACACCCAGCTTCCCATCGTCAACATGCTTTCCGGATCCGTTGAAAAGAATCCATCTATAGGCAATAGACGCAAGGTGCATGATATGTGCAGAGGTTTGTGAATGCAGTTATTCTGACTTTTACGTGTGTAGGTGGAGGTGATTGTGAAGGTTGTAGATGCACAGTGCACAGATCTTGTTTTCAGTCGTTTGAAAAACGGATCAACCAAGACCGACGATCCGCTCGTGATGAAGACATTTGTTTACTTGGAGAATCCAGAAACGTTTCGTTTTTGTATGAGGTGGAAGTATGATGACAACGATACGCGCCAGAGAAGCTTCTTTGATATGATTCCGGCGGCCAATTAATAAGTTTAAGGTTTCAGGTTAGTTTTGATCCTGATAAATATAAAGTTAGTAATATACAACGTTAAGATGGCACACTTTTGCGGATTTGGACTATCGAATGCTTCGATTACTACTTCTTTGACTTTTACTGGCATGAGCTGTTGCTGCTTGCTGTCAGATATGATTAAATAAAAAAGTTTTTAGCGAGATTGGGTTAAATCCTTTCCCTCCTCTATAAGATTATCCCAGTAAGGTTATTTAGAATAGTCATCATGCAGCAATACTCGCTGTGCGATTATGATGTTTTCCTACGAGGGGGGCGGCAACATACACTTTTGGGCGATCAAAAACCTTGATTGCACCTTCAATTTCTCGCACTTTTGCTTCAAGATCGTTCTTTCGTCGAATCTGACTCAGTGTCTCAATCCGAAGTGGTAGCGTATTGATACGTCGCTGAGCTTCCGCCAGCGATATTCGCAGCACATCTAATGTATGTACACGCTCATCTTCATCAAGAAGTATCATACCAGGAGGACAATCTGGATCCGGTGCATTCTTCCGCCGTTCTTCCTCCTCTCGTGCCCATTGTTCCTTACGCTCCATCAAGTACCGCGGTATGCGACCAAAATTAGGATTCACAGGACGCGAAACCTGCTTTTGATTGTGTTCGACAGGTGGTTTTCTAATCACCTCCCAGGCGTTCGCATTGACAAAGTCTATTTGCTCCTTATTTTTCTGATCCGAACAAATGGTAAGAACAGTAAACGACGGCGTACGAAACAAGTACTTACCTTTTTAAAAGTATATTTCTCTCTTCGTTCCAGCTCCTGTAGTGATGGAACAGGTGCTTTGCGGTGAATATGGCGTTTGCAACCACAGTTTGTAGTGGAAGGTGGAGAAGATGAAAGCGTGCTGGTCTCACTCTGAGGTGTAGAAGATGACGAATACATTGAAGATAACGGGAGTCTACTACGACGCAAATACTCGTGCCTTTTGATCTGCTCTCTATTTGATGACTGCATCCACATTTGTCAAGTCGTCAAGTAATTCACTATTACACTAATATCTCGAGGCTGTACCTCATTTACTTGAAATACTCGCGGAAGTACATTTTTGAATCTGGTCAATTTAAACTCTTGCTGCTGTCGTGCTTCCTGCCAATGACATTCGATTAGCTAATCCCTCACGAGCGGATTGCACCAGAACCTGCTTCCATACCTCCAGCTTCTGACGCTCACGATTATCTGCTTGCATTCTTTTTACGCGCAGCTTGTTCTCGCGTTCGAAATTTTTCGGTACCACCCCCTTTCGTTGTTGCTTTTCGCTGCAATCCAAAGACAATATCAGCCGCAGTCGCGATCAGGAAATAAAAATCAAATGACTAAGAACAAGGCTAGTGATGCGATTAACACACCGAAAGCCTTCGTCTGGATGCAGAATGGCTGCTATCGCATCTGAAGCGTTGGCGTCGCGGCGGCGGTAGCCCACACTAGCGCTCATCGAGCAAGCTGCTGAGTGTCGAAACTCCTGATTTTATGTTCGTATGGCGTGGGCCACATTATCATGCAGAGTTGATCAAAAGTGGTCCACCTCTTTTCTTGGTGTCGGATTGATGGTTGCCCTTCAGTGCATAGCAACGCAACACTGTCACAATTCTACAAGAGTTGCACGATGGACTTAGGACGCTGAATGCTTCGAACGTTGTGAGCGACTATATGTAGTTTTAAGCCGGACCAGTGTGCTGTCTAGCATGTTGAATGTTCCATCAGAGCGATTGTGAGTGAATATAACCAAAAAGTGGTGTACAAGCAAAAGTGAGTGAATATAACCGAAA